TCTCCCTCTCTGCCCCTCCCCCACTCGTACTCTGTCTCCTCTCTCTCAAAAAAAAATAAACATTTTTAAAAAGTTAAAAATAAGTAAAACTAAACTTACAAGTCTAAGTACTTAAAAAAACACTCCTTATGACAGGATCAACCAAATGTGGCCCATCACCTGTTTCTGTATGGCCTCTGAACAAAGCCCGGTTTTTACATTTTTAAATGGTTGAAAAAATAATCAAAGAAGTATAATATTCTGTGACATGTGAAAATTATATGAAATTCAGATTTTAGTGACTATAAATAAACTTTCATTGGAACAGAGCCCATGCTCATTCATTGAAGTATTGTCCATGGCTTTTTATAGCAGAATTGCGTAGCTGTGACAGAGACATATGGCCCACAAAGTCTAGTATTCACCATTCTAGCCCTTTACAGAGAAAGTTTGCCACCTTCTCCCTTAAGAGACCATACGTTTATTCTAATGATACTACAAATTAGGAAAATATTTCCGAAAGTCCATTTTTGAAAATGCTTTCAAAGCCATACCACATTCTTTTGAGTTTCCTCAGTGGTGGCAAACCTTCATTCTTTGGGGATGAATATGAATTTTGGAGATGGCTAAGCCACTTGGAGCCAAAACTGAGTAAGGTTGGTTATGAAGATGAATCAACCAACAAACATTTATTAATAATCCATATTTATGGGAAGTGAAGATCTCTTCGGAAAAAAAAGCACTTTCTCTGACTTCCGAGAGCTAACAATTGAGTGAGGGTATAGTCATATGCTTTCATAGGTTTGACTCAAGCTAAATTGGCAATATATGCACAGAAATAGAAAGTACAGAGGAGGAAAAAGAATTCTGTAATAAAACTAGAAGGTCTACATTCTTGTATGGCTGTGAATTTGCTATAAAGTTGTTTCATTTGTTTGTTTGTTTGCTTTAACAAACAGGAACTCCAATAATACCTCAGGCAATACACTTCTGGAATAAATGAGTGACTCCCGAATAAAATTTTATTTTACTGTTTTATGTTTTTAAGATTTTATTTTGAAGTAAATATCTACACCCAACATGGGGCCCAAACTCACAACCCTGAGATCAAGAATCATATCGTATGATTGCTCTCCCTGAGCAATTTCCTCTGCTCTTAAGGCTTCAAATACCACTTACTGGCTAACTCTGAAATCTGGATCACCAATCTCAGCCTCCCTCCTGGGCTCTGGATCCTCCCGACCTGACATCTCTACCTGAATGCTCCAGACAGACACACTTCAAACTCAACGTGTTCAACACTGAAACAATGATCTTCCTCTCACATTAAAAAATAAAACAAGTTCTCCTACCCACGGTTTCCCAAACTAAGAAACTAAGCCATTTACTTTTTCTGTTCACCTTCAAAGCCAATCACTTTTGAGGCCCCTGTAAATTCTACATCTTGACATGTCCTCTCCTCTTCTCTATTACGATTTCCCCACTCCAGGCCCTGTCCTCTCTTATCTGGACGATTTCAATAGCGTTAAGCCTTCTAACTTATCTCTTTATCTTCTGCCTCTCTCCATCCCATCCAGCCTCCACACCGTACCACCATACTATCTTTCCTAATTACCTACCATCCTTCACTGGCTCTCCATTGTCTTTAGAATCGAGTCCAAAGTCCCTAACATGATACAGAAACTCTTCACCGCGTGGCACCAGCCAACTTCTTTTTTCTGAGTCCTAACTTTTTATTTAGCTAAATCTGTATGTTGTTTTAGGACTCTTCTTGTACTTCAAAGTATTAAAACAGCTTTTAACACCATATTCTATAGTGAAACACTTTGCCAAACCGGACAAGTCTTCATTGTTCCCAAGGAGAGACACTGAAACCCCACACTCACCTCATTTCTAGCAATTTCAGTGACCCTAATGCCACCATAATCAAACTCAGAAATGTTCTTTTTCCAGCTTGGTTCCAGGCACCATCCCCTTTAGCCCAGCCTCTCATCTTCATATACTCTCATCTTTAGGCAATAAACTACAATACATCCCTCACACATACCATAAACTTCCACATAATATTCTTGTTTTCATCCATATCTTCTAATTCCTTCCTCAACTCAGTTAACTGCTATTCATCCTGCAAAGCCAAATTCAAATATGGTATCTCCTCTCCAATCTTCCTCCCTATCATACACAGAATTATTTTCCCTCATCACTATTCCCACTAAATTCTGTCTCAACCTCTGTTATAACTCTTATCACACTGAAATTGTAGGGACTTATTTACATGTCTGCTTATATGCTTTTTGAAACAAATTTTTTTTTTTTATTTTAGAGAGAGAAAGAGAGTGCAAGCAGGGGAGAGGGCAGAGGGGGAGAGAGAGAATCTTAACCAGGCTCCACGTGCAGTGCAGAGCCGGACTCGGGGCTCAATCCCCAAGATCCTGGGATCGCGATCTGAGCCAAAATCAAGAGTCAGTCATTTAACCGACCGAGCCACCCAGCCATCTCTGGTTATGAGCTTTTTGAAGGCAGGGAAGCATTTTTTTTTTTTTTTCTTAAATCGAACATTTCACTTTTGGTCTGAGAACAGATATTTTAAACTCCTTGTTGAAAAATAATCACCTGTTCTATTATTAAGATAATACCATAATTGTAGTAACTGAGTGACTGAGAGTTTAGAAACAAAAAGAGTCCCGAGGCGTTCACCAGGGTGGGGGGAAAATGGTCTTATATACAAAGTATCATTAAACTGTAGCCTGGACAAGCTTTCATCTACATCTTGCAATGCCAGTTTCTTTCTCTCTCTGCTTCTTTTTTGAAGAAGTTCTTTACAGAACTCTCTTTTAAATACACATTGGATTGGATTTGTATTCCACTCACAGAATTTGAAACTCAGTATAATGCAGAGGTTGAGATCAGGATTTCCGGAGTCTAACTGTCTGGTTCGAATGCTAGCTTTGCTGCCTAGGCTGTTTGACAGGGGCGTTACTCAACCTCTATGTCTTTCAGTGAGGAGACCAAAATAATGACACCCCTCATGGTGCTGTCTTAAGGATTAAATAAGTAATGCACGTACAGAATTTAGAACACTGCCTGGCTCAAAGCAGGTCCCAATAAATGCTGACTGATGCTATCATCAGTTTTAAAAACAGCTTTCTTACTACTTATTTTAGCCCACTTGGTAGAGTGCAATCTCCTAGAAGGAAGGAATTATATTCTTCTCATACCCAAATACAATGTAAGTGCTAAAACGGTGCCCTGGAATATAGCAAGTGCTCAATAAATAATGTGACAGTAAGGCTTCAGACCTCCAAAATCAACAAATTACAAATCACAGCAAAATTTATATACAGAGTACATATTTAAAACATTTAAAATTGTTTTAAGTAGTTTCAAAACACCTATCTTCCACTGAACTGCTGAAACATAAAACTTTTAAAGCAACACACAAATTATGTTCACTGGGAACCTTCCCTCTACTCCATCTGATTTACTTTTAGTCTCCTTTGGTCTAAAATTCTTGTCTATAAGACACGCTACAGATCTTTTAAAATATAATTTCCAGGTTTAGAAAACTGTCTATTGTCACATCAAAAAAAACCAATATTCTTCCTTTATATCTGCGTCTTTAAAAATCTATTGCCATATTCAATATTAAAAAAACCCTGATGAAAGGCCAAGAGGTACAATTACTATATTTCCAGGTTTCTACCTGGGAAACTACTTCAGAACCACCTACAAATATCCCCAGTAAGTCTGATGGTAACAAATTGCTATTCCCTTTTTTTATTTCCGTTCTCCCCCTAAAACCCCTTATACATTCACATATCCATGGAAAAGAACGCAAGTGTCTATAATAAATGTACAAAAAAATACAGCTACATAGTAATTTTGTTTTGAAGGACTTAAATCTTACAAAAGCAAATGAAAGTCTTGATTTGAAGCCATACTCCCAGCTTACTTTACCAGGTAACTTAAACTAGAACTACTTACCTAAAGCAAAAAAAGTAAATTACGTATTCGATTGCTACCTAACTTCATGATAAATAATTCAGTAACAATGTATAGATAATATGTGCTATTCTGGAAAAATTTATTAATCAGTTAAAAATGGACCACACTTCAAGCAATGGCGATTCTGAGGAAAAAAAAGGAGCTTAAACAATTTACGCAGAAAACAAAGATTTAAGACTTTTATCTAAAACACTTGGAGGTGAATCACTAGCCTCGGGGTAAAGATTTACATAGTGCCTACTACGTGTCTGGCGTTTAGTAGTTTCTTTACAGAATATGCATGCTGCTGATGCATCAATTTCAATACCTAACATTTACAGACGACTCTCACTCATCTCCTTTGGCTCTCAACACCCCTGGGCGCGAGCTTCCCAGTTTCACAGTAGTTTTGACTGAGGTATCACATGTGTTATATGGGTCCTGGCGGAGACTCCAGCCCTTGACTCACAATCTAATCATCCTCTGCTATACTAGTTACTCAAAAGTTCTTAGATGTCCCACTGTCCGATTTTAAAATCAAAATCCTACTTGACGACTTTCAATATTGTGCTCCTCAGATTCTGTTAAGAATCGAAACACACACAAATGTTTAAAAGTCCACGGTCTCAGCCTGTGGACGTTCAAATTCGCCGGCCAGTCCCGGCGACAGCCCCGCGTTTCCTCCTGGATGGCGCGCTCCCTCTCCCGTCCCTAAGACTGCCGAGCGCCCCCGGCCCCTGGTCTCGGGCCCCGAGGTGAGCGGCGGAGAGACGCCTCGCCAGGCTCCGCCACGGCCACCGCGGCCCACCAGCCGGGCTCCCGACGCCAGTTGTCGCCGGGCTCGGGTCCGACCCTCGTGTGTCCCTCCGGGCAGGGGAGGCGCCCAGACTGCGGGGCCCGGCCGACACCTCCGCGCGTCCCGGCTCCCTCACTGCCAGCCCCGCTGCCCCGCTTCCGACGCCCAGCATGCGACACGCACCGCCTCGAGGGACCGAGGCACCCGCCTTAGAGGCCGCCCAGGATCGCCCCGCACCTACCTGCCTTCGACCTCCACGTCGCCCCCACGGCCGGGCTGCGAGGTTCTCGCTCTCACCGCGGAGGCGCCAGCTCTCGGCGCTAGCACTCGGGGTCGGCTGCGCCCCGCCCCCGCAGGCGCAGTCGAAGGCCCCGCCCCGCCCGGCCGCGGCCCCACCCCGCCCGGAAAAGCCGGGTTCTCATTGGCTCCTCTTCCCACCCTTCACGCTCCGGCCCGCCCCCGGCACCGCCCTGGAACCGTCGAGAGGGGAACCGCCCCCGTTCCAGTCTGCCCGGGGGCCAGAACCTTGTCCCGCGGACCTTACGCGCCCGGACGCCGGCCGAGATCTCAAGCCAAAGCCCCATCGCAGTAGCCGTGCCTACGGTCCTATTGACCCCACGGCGATGGACCTGAATTTGCATGAAGGTTGACTCTTCACGGCCACCTAGTTTAATCGAGGAATCCAAATGAAACCTCACTCAAGGAAGCCATAAAATTATCTCTTGCCATTGCAGTCCAGTGCCAACTTGAAACGTACACAGATGCGAATAACGCTCCGAACACCTGAGGTTTGAAATCCCAGAGCAAGGCGCCTTTGATACTCCCAGTGCCTGAGGTCGGCCCCCACGCCCTGTTGTGACACACATGCCTAAGCACTACGCCTGCAACACGCTCACACACAGGTATGTGCATGGCGCTGTGCCTACTGCGAGCAGCAGCCCAGTTTCACCAAGGCTGCGAGTCAGGATGAGTTAAGCCTGTTTCCCAGGCACTCGCCAACCACCCCACCCCACCTCGTCCCGCCCCATTCCACCCCACCCCACCCCACCGCTCCCCACCAGAGCCTCTTGGGTTTGACCAAAATCTTCCCACATCTGTTCACAGAGAGGTACCAAAATAGAAGACTGCCAGAAAGAGGTGTTTGGTTACACATCGCAGATGACTGTCACAAGCTAATTTAGCCAAAGCAGTAAAAGCCGCATATCCCACGCCGTTGTGAAACCATGAGTTGTGGACAATGAAACAGGAATTACCTTCTATAATGGGGGGGGGGGGGGGGGAGGGAGAGTAATGACAAGACATTTTTAAAAATCGTGTTTCACTGAGGAAAAAAACGTCAATATATTTTGCAGTAAATTTTGAGCAGTGATCTTTATGGACTACCCCCCTCAACCCCACCTCCATACTTATATATTTAGAAAACTTCTCAAACAATTGTCTAAGATGAAATTTTAAGCTAGAATAGTGTGGTTTTAAATTTTATTTCAAAATTCAAATTGATTTCAGAGTTCAAACTTTACATTCAGGAAGATTATGTGGCAAAAATGAGGCAGATTGAATTCCAAATCTGGCATGGTTTCTATGTCTGTAATAAATGAATTAACATGTATGTATTCTACTGCCCTCTCATGGGTGATCTGGAGATATAACTAATGGTAGTTAATGCCTTTTAAATCTGAGACTAGAATGTTTAATTTAGCAATCTCTATTATTTTGATGATATAGAGGACAAGGTAGAAATAAAATCAGGTTCTCTAAGGGACGTATAAATACTCAGCAAACAGAAGTTCAACTTCAGAAACCAGGGAGAGGATTCTTATACTAGGGCTAGTATAAACACGCTGTCAGGATCACACCCATGCTTATAGCTACCTGTGTAGAATGTGGAAACATGCAGGAATTTGCCTTTATTTTTGTTTTTCCATTTGAGAAGTCATTACTTCCTGAGGTGTTTCACAAAATGTTCTTTTTCACATTTGTATCCACTCACTTTATCATTTCACACTGTGAACAACAGGAGAGTAGGAATGAAATCTTATTCTTTACACCTTTGCTGCCTAGAATACTACCTGATACTTGAGCAGTTCATCAGTAATTGTTTATTTAATAAGTTAAATGAACTATCAGCCCAGCCACTAGATGGCAACACAGTTGCACATGTAGAAGTATAGTCTAGCTAATTGGAATTCTACCTGGCCTTGAGTAACAGATAGGTTCCTAAAAAGTTATTTAAAATGTACAATGACAGGGGTGCCTGGGTGGCGCAGTCGGTTAAGCGTCCGACTTCAGCCAGGTCACGATCTCGCAGTCCGTGAGTTTGAGCCCCGCTTCAGGCTCTGGGTTGATGGCTCAGAGCCTGGAGCCTGTTTCTGATTCTGTGTCTCCCTCTCTTTGACCCTCCCCCGTTCATGCTCTGTCTCTCTCTGTCCCAAAAATAAATTAAAAACGTTGAAAAAAAATTAAAAAATAAAATAAAATAAAATGTACAATGACAGCTGGCTATAACTTTATTGACAATTATATCCTTAAAATTGATCATCTTTGGATAAGATAAATTCTACCTAAGTGTAATAGCTCATAGGTACGTATTTTCTATATTGGACGACACCTGTTTTTGTCTAAGAGCATTAGTCTCCAGTTGTATCCCGTCAAAAGGACTTTTCAATGGTCTAAGTGCCTCAAGCAAAGTTCATTCTGTAAACCCAAAGCCTGCATTTCTCCCTGGGGCTCCTGGGTGGCTCAGTGGGTTGGGCATCCAACTTTGGCTCAGGTCCTGATCTCACCTCTCTTGAGTTCGAGCCCCTCATTGGGTTCTTTGCTGACAGCTTAGAGCCTGTAGCCTGCTTTGGATTCTGTGTCTCCCTCTCTTTCTACCCCTTCCAGCTCATGCTCTGTTTCTTTCTCCTTCAAATATAAATAAACATCAAAAAAATATTTTAAGCCTACATTCTCCCAATAACAAGTCACTTGCTCGTATTTTTGCCTTGACTTAATAGTTTTTATGTTAATAATAATATGTATTATTAACTATTATTAATTGTTAATAAGGCAGGGCAAAAAATCCTACCAAATGTTTCACCTGTAAGTCATAGCGACTCTAGAGTCACACAAACCTACGTCCCCATTGCTACCTCTCAATAGATGTGTCCTTGTGCAGGTTATTAACTTCACTAACTTCAGTTTACTCATCTTCTCCAAAATGAAGATAATATTTTCTACTTCATAAAGTGAAAATAATTAAATAATGTCAGTGGAATGATATCTAGTACAATCATTGGTTTATAGTAAGGATTCAGTAACTGGTAATTATTATTCATATTCTCTAATGAAAATCTCACCCACATTATTATTTGGTTTATTTGCTTTATTCTCCCGATTTAAGGCCTTCAGCAATTAAATTAAGTTCATAACACCAGGTTTCATAGCGATAGGCCATGCGGATTTGGGCTACATTTGTCTTCCGGATATCGTTTCCCATAGGGCCTTCCTCAAGATAATTGTCGCCCAGGAACTTTGCTTTCTCCTGTAAGAGAAAAGAAAGGAGAATGATTGTTGTCTTTTTATCCTGATATAGACAGTAATTACATCTTCCACAAAGATCCCTTCCATATATTACTTACTGACAAAAGGAAAACATAAACCAGTAAAAGCACTTATCCAGTGCCTCAGTACACATGGTCTGCTGAGAAGTCAAATGTGTTTTATTTTCCTTGCCCAAAGGCATAGCCAGAGAGATAGAAGAATTCTTTCTAATCCCTGGCCATAGTATTTGCGTATGATTTGAGGGATAATTTTTCTACATGTGTTTCCCCAACTATCTTTTCATTACTCAGTTTCCAGATCCTATGCACAGAAGGACAGCCAGCCAAGGACAGGTCTACCTCATGAGAAATTCCACATTGCAGAACACTGTTTCTTGCCACTTCACACATATCGCAGGTACTCAGTTTGAACACTTGGGCAGCAATGGCGTATTCTTCCATTAGGGGCTCCTTAGGTTATTTATTTAAATGAGGCAAAAAAAGAAACAGAAAAAGAGAGAAAGAAAGAAAGAAAGAAAGAAAGGAAGGAAGGAAGGAAGGAAGAAGAAAAGAAGCATATTAAAAAAAATAACAAGCATCCAGCAGAAAAAGTATATTGAAACACCTTGATTTGACTTTGAAATTCTGGATGGAAAACAACAGTCCCTCCAAATATGCCTGTATTGCTCAAGATTCCATATGTGTACCTTGGTAAAGTGGAATTGCATCGGGTCATCTGTCGACAGTGAGATCATTAGTCCCTTCTGGAGGAAATCTAAAAGAGGATTTTTGGCATATTCTAGAAATAAGCTGTTGTTACTTAATGGCGACATGGCGATGGGAATCTGGGCTAAGAAGAACAAATACTGTAACACAGGGCTCTGAAAAGGAAAAGCGAAAAAAATTATTTAAGGATGTTGAAAAAGGGATACAAATGAGAAATGTTATAACTACATGATCTGCAAGTTTTAGCTTTCAAAAGAATGATCATATGTTCTTTCAGTCCCTGAGGACAGACAAATAATCATTTTAAATGTAAATGCTATTTAGAATACATGTATTTGGGATCATCAATTTTCAGTAGCCTTGAATCAAACTAAATGTTTGAGTTTTAGTTGCCTAAGGTACATGGTCTGTCTCGGGAAAAGACTTCACCTTGAAACATTTTTTTATCCCTCATAAGAAAGTTCTGACTCTCACAAAAGGTATTTGAAAACATGCTATAACAAGAAATCTGGCAAAAACTAGTTGAAGATAAGCCAAGCACCTCTGAATTCTCCCTTGTCAGAGTTCTAAAATAGAAGTCAAAAGACCTGCATTAATTCATCTCTGCTGCTAACTGGTTAGGTAATCGTAAGCAGCTCCCTTTACTTGTCTGGCTTCTGTGAAATGAACTGTACTAAATAACCTCAAAAATCTTTTTTTGCTCTACTTTAATTTGATTCCAGTGTTGATAATGACTTGGGAGACAATGATACAGAAAAAATTATTCCTCTAGCTCCAATATAAAAGTTAATATTAGGAAGAGAGCCTCCAACTCACCTTCTTTAGATTCAGGCCATGAGAAATATTATCTGCTGTCATGAATGCTGTCATGAGATGGGTGAGAGCGCCCGCTTCCCCGCAGTGAGGTCGGAACAGGAAAGTATTCATGCCTCGTTCCCTAGGGAAAGGCAACTGCCATAGTTATCACAGGTGGCTGGCTAGGACCCGGCAGCAATTTGGGGCATGGAGTAATTTATAAGAAAATCTGGTAAGAAAAGAATTAACCCTCTGAAAGAGAGTGGGGCATCCAAAGGATTCGGTAAAACTGGCAATTCCAGGTCATGATCTTAATTCTTCCCGAACGTAGCCTTCTGAAAAAAGAGGCAGCAGAGGATATGAGGGTATGGAGGAACGTCAAGATTTGATTACCTTCAGTTTCAACAGGAAATTTACCAAAAGTACCATGTTGTCATTTCTCCTACTCACACTTGAGGGGGGAGATGTTTCCAGAAAACCCCGTTATAATATTCCTCTATTCTTTACCCAGGTATATCAAGAAGGGTGAAGTGTATGGAGTATGATAATAAATTGTGCAGTGATTAGTGAAAATTCCTAAACTTGCAAAGAAAGGAACTGTGAAAGTTGCTGAAGGCTCCAAAACATCCATTCCTGCTACTAAATAAAGAAAGAAACCAAAGAAAAAGACAAGGGAAAGATATTTCTGATTCGGGCCAATTGAAAGTGTCCTAGCAGTGCAGTGCAGTGGCCCTTGACCACCCAAGGCACCAATGTCTGAGCAAAAGAGGTGTGTCAAATAGAATCATCTCCTTCTAGCTCCAGTTCTGTCTACTTACTTTCTCAGGCTGTTGAGAACCGTGATGTTTGCATACATGTAGTAGGCATAGTAAGTGTAAGATGGATTCTTTTCCATGGTCCACTCCTGGGGCTTGGGACTCTTGGAGGAGAACATGTGGCCACTGTGTTTGGACTCATCATCCACACTGTCGAAGCCAGTAATCTGTCCAGAAAAGTAGGCCATGCAATGGGGTCAGTTCGACTACAGGATCCCAGTCCTCAGAAAACCTTTCAGCTCCCAAAGGCAAGGACCAAACGTCAGAGATAAGCACCAAAAATGAATCACAGCTTGTGGCAATACTAGCTCACGCACAGCAGTGAGAAGGCCCAAAGGCTCATGCTTACATGCTTAAGGAAGACACTGAGGTCTGGGTGAGCCTGGGGATTAATGGTGGCCTCAAACACTGGCATGAAAACATTCTCCAGCATCTTTCCGAAGTGTGGGAGGAAGTTCTTCGATCGGAACACATCGCTAAAGGCAAGAATAAAGAGAATTTACGAGGAAAATAGTTTTAGTATTAACAGCCCCTGTGTGAAGGAATCAGAGGGCAAGATGCCATGTTCAGAAAAAGACTTAGTGTGTCCATTCTAGGTCCACTCCGGTACACTCTTTTTGGCTACCCATAAAGAGGGATTCCGTTTAGATGAGGCATAGAGACATAAATTTCTTGCTGGACCAGTTGCCTCAATCTCTTCTACAAAACCTCTGTAGTAAAAATATTAACCTTCACAGCTAAATCCATACAGAAAATGAAGAGTATATATAGGAACTATGTCGCAAAAGATTGGGTGACTTATTTGTGGTATATAAGATGGTGAGCATGATACATTTATCGAGAACACTTCTGGAGCGCCTGGGGTGGCTCACGTTGGTTGATTTCAGCTCAGGTCATGATCCCAGGGTAGTGGGATCGAGCCCCGTGTTGGGCTCCACACTCAGTGCAGAGCCTGCTTAGGATCCTCTCTCTCCCTCTGCCCCTCTCCCCAGCTCTCACATGTGCGCTCTCTCACTCTCTCTGTCTCTCAAAAAAGAAAAACAAAAACAAAACACTTCTGATATGCTTTAGCCAGGGACAATCTAACGAACTAACTCTTATATAGCACTCAGCATATGGCCATCCACTCTTTTAAGTAGCCAGAAATATTAGTTAATTTAACCCTTATAACAACTCAGTATGTTAGCTACCATTATGACCCTATTTTTTAGTTAGTTTATTTTTAAGTAAGCTCTTCACCTAATGTGGGGCTTGAACTCACAACTTGGAGATCAAGAGTCCCATGCTCTACTGACTAAGCCAACCAGATGCCCTCATTGTAAAGATGATGAAACAAAGGCAGAGAGCTCATGAAACTTGCCCAAGGTCACACTGCTAGTAAATAGTAAAACTGGGATTCAAATACAGCCAGTCTAGGTCCAGAGTCCATGCTCTTATCACACCTACTGCCTCTCTGCTTTAATGATATTAGACAGGAAGCCCTACCCCAGTCAAAAAGTTACTTTTTTGGTTCAAGAGACAGGATAAAACTCTTGCATTGACAAGGGTGGGGGGGCAGGGGCGGCATACAGAGGCAGGTGGCCAGAAAATATATAAACACTTAAGTTAGATAGAAGATCAATGATGCTGAGCATCCCCGAGGGTCATGAGTAATCATCAATGGTAATACCATTGATAAATACTCATTGATTGTGGAGGACTTGAACACTTGTAAATGAGACAATTGTCAGATGGTAGTAAAGGTTCTTTCTTTTTTTTAATGTTTATTCATTTTGAGACGGAGAGAGTGCAATGCAAGAGTGGGTGAGCAGGGGAGGGTCAGAGAGAGGGCAGGTAGTTGGAGAATTTCAAGCAGGCTCTGCGCTGTCAGCACAGAGCCTAACGTGGGGCTCGAACTCACAAACCGTGAGATCATGACCTGAGCTGTAATTAAGAGTCAATCACTTAACCAACTGGGCCACGCCGGCATCCCGATAATAAAGGTTCTGATACAAGAAAGCTACATCCCAGTCCAGATAAGCATGGGAAAGAATGACTGGACACAGAGAGAAAGACCAGGAGAAAGGGAAAGTATAGTAAAATGTACATAGTTCTCATCCTAGCTTTCAAATATTCTCAATAAGTTATTTTGTGATCTGCGTGAAGTCCCATGTTTTAAAAAACAAAACCCCAAAACTTGGTTAGAAAACTGTACTGAAATGATCTTCCTAATTCCTGTCTTTGGTCAGGAGTGCTGAACCCAGATTGGACAAAACCAAGCACCCAGGACCCTGTTCTGAGCTCCGCTTTAACAAAGCTTTTTTGTGTCTAGAGGCGCTACATCTTTCTTGTTTGTGCAGAGAAGGTGAGGCAGGCCGGATGAAGTCAGGCTTTCGCGTCTCGGGTGGGAAGGTACATACTAGATCCTGGGGACCTGGATCAGCCAGGTCATGTTGCGGCAGTAGATGCGGTTACGGACGAACCAGGAGGACAGTTTGTGCCACTCATCAGGACTGCGGCCATAGATTGACAGGCGGGGCTCGGCGTGCTGGTACTTTGCCTCCACCAGGTCTGCACCTACCTCCTGCGAAGCCAACAAAGGAGTCCAAAGCCAGGAATTTCCACAAGTCCCTCAGGGGTCTAAATCTGTGGGGTCTAGGGAGAGGAAGTGGGTACCAAGAACAGGGGAAGCGTAAAAGGAGGTCAGAGGGAACCTATTCCAGGTTAAGATCTAAGGAAATCGAGAGATGAGGGGAATGTAGTCAGGAAGAGACTGATAGTGATGGAGTCTAGAGAGTGAAAAAGTCAGAGAAAGGATGTTGAAATATCCAATCCAAGGGGCCTGCAAACGGCACTCAGCTCTTTTTACACCCCCTACTTTCCAAAACGCACATCTCCCAAGTCCACTCTGTCATTCCTGCATGCTAGAGCTCAGGCCATGAGCCTGAAAGAGTCCTTAATCAGTCCCAAATCCACACCCTCAGTTTCTCTAGCCTCGGAATACAAGTCTTTTAAATCAAAACAGTGGACACCTCTGAAGAAATTCTTGCATTCATGTCTGTGGTGCTTCCCCAGGGATAGCACCCTTTCTCCTTCCTTTCCCTCCTTCCTTTCCTTCCCTCTCTTCCTCCTTCCTCTTCTCTTTTCTCCTTCCTTCTTTTCCTCCTTCTCTCCCTCCCCCTCCTCAAGAGCCAAGCCAGGTACCATAGATCTGGTTGGTTCCTCCTCACCTTGATGATAGTGGCAAAATATTCCCCATCAATGTAATTGTCTGTCTTTAAGTAGAGGTCTCGTAGCTCACTTGCTCCTACAGGATTGTATTTGTCATTGAACTTATCAAAACGCTGGAAGGTCTGGCGTCCCTGAATCAGGAAACAGGAACACAAGTATATTATTATCAGAGCTGCTGGGACATGGAGAGCGAGGGAATGGCCACAAGGAACAGGGCCTGGGAACCGGGGGGAAGGGGGTGGGCTCCAAGAAAGGAATCTGGCACAGTTGACAATGAGTGAACCTCAAAATTGTCTGTGGGTGCTTTCAGTCAGCAAGGTCAGCCAACACGGTTAAGAGGGTTCTGAGAAGTGGGAGGTTATAGGAGAATGGCATGTGTGGTTCTGAGTATGAGCATGAAGCTGACATCATCTTTTTCAACCTACAGCGTGAACATCCAGAGAATCAACCGTCAGGTCATAGGGATGCATCTTTAATTTGGCAAAAAGTTCCTTCAGGGTCAGATTTTTCTCCTTGCTGCTGTAGACCACTCTGTCAGCATCGATGTGGTAAGATTTCTTAATAAAGCGCAGCAGGTGCTTTTGGTTCATGCAAGCGGCTGCATGGATATGGGTGTCCACCTGTGTGTACATTCAGAGAAAGAAAACCAACAATCAGCCCTAGTCATGCTGCTCTGTTAGAGGCCATGGTGCCTGCAAACCCCATTGAGGCAAGAGAAAGGAATAAGTAGAGGGATGTGACCTGACATCCGGTGAAGGTGGCCCGGCAGGAAAGAACCAGCAGCACCTTTTTGTACCCTTGCGAGAATGTGAAAGTTTAGGGTGATGCAATTATAATGCCTACTTCTCTTGGATATCTGCCTATCCAATTAACTCTCTACCTTTGATCCACACAAAATTCTCGGGGACCATTCTCCACCCCTGAAATAAACTAGCTGCCACAGCTTTCAGCCCCAAAGGGAGAAAAGATCAAAATCATGTCAAAGCCATGACTGACACAGCGATGGAACTTATGAGTTAGATATTTAAAAAAAAAATTTAATGTTTTATTTCTTTTTGAGAGAGAGGGAGAGGGAGACAGAGTGCGAGCAGGGGAGGGGCAGAGAGAGAGGGGGGAGACACAGAATCTGAAGCAGGCTCTGGGCTCCAAGCTGTCAGCACAGAGCTCGAAGTGGGGCTTGAACTCACAAACCTCGAGATCATGACCCGAGCCAAAGACAGATGTTTAACAGGCTGAGCCACCCAGGCGCCCCTGAGCTAGATATTCTTATGATTATAATTTTATAGCCTGGAGATTTGATAGATGAATTTGCCCAAGGTTATACAGGCAGCTGAGCCAGGATTTGGTCCTGAATCTTTGCTCGTATATTTTCTATCCTCACTTCTTTCAATCGCTCAAATGGTCGGAACACATCTCAGAGGTGTTTCTAAGTTGATTCGTTTTCTACACTTATTAGCGCATCTGATGCCCACCGTCCTCTTGTGAGCTAGACTGAGCAGATATATTTTCCAATTTTACGAATGAGGAAACAAACTCAGAAATATTTAATCATCAACCGCTATATCTCAGAGTCAGGAAGTAGGAGCAAAAGGACTAGAAGAAAGGTCTTCCAAAGCCTGGAATAGCAGTTTTTGAGATTTCGTTCGTTTTTGTTATTTTTGTGGTTCACGATCATTATAATTTTTTGTGGCAAGAATGTGGTAAACCCTTCTGTGTAGAAAACAGTAGAAATGGCATTTTAACTTTCTAGAATAATTCATTTGCTCTCACTAAAAACAGTTTCTTTCTTGTCCCACTCAAGAGCTAACTGGGCTCCCATTTTTGCCCAGCGCTGGCCCCTGAGCAGTGCCCACGTTTACCTTCCTGCAGTTATAAAAATCTCGGTGGGGGTTGTTCTTCAACTCCTTTAACTCATCCATCTCGTTGAGCATCTCATGGACCTGGAACTTGGCAGACAGGAACTTCAGGCGCCGGTGGGTGTAGGTCTTACTGTGGAAAATTAAATCACATAATTCTGAATCATTCAGACACTTAAGGAAAACAGACACAGTTTCAAAACCATCAGGACCCTTATTACCCATAGGAAGCAATTATTGAAACAAACATTTCAGTTTGCAGTTAATCTCACTTGAGAAGTATTGGGCTCCAGGGGCTCAATCTTTTCATCCATGTTGGACAGAATAGTGAGGGAAGACTTGGGAAGGCATTTAACAGCCCCGGGGAGACAGCATTGCTCAAGGCTAAGGGTCCTGGCTTTAGGGATGGCAGATGCAGACTTGAATCTCAGGGAGCTGTGTGACTTTGGGAGATTATTTAACTCATCAGAGTCTCTGCTTACAAAACGGCAATTATAAAACTACCCACCTCGCAGAATGCTTGTGAGGAGATGGGAAATAATGTACCTGAAGGGCTTAACAGTATTTGAACATTGTAAGCACTTGGTAAATACTCATTCTTACTAAGAGCAGTGTTAGTACTCGTGGTGGTAGCATCACTAAACACTCACACAGGTCCTTGGGCAATTAAAGCAAGCAAAAAATTCATATCATCTAAGAAGGTGTCCATATCGAGATAAGGAAGTGGCTTAGGTTCATCTTTGCTGGCTGCTGCTTCATTAGGATAGACATGAACCACACCGTCCTTCATTTTGAGGTGATAACCCAGGTTTTCCGGGAGGTTATCTGTTTGGAAGGGATCTTCTCCGCTCTTCGCAGGAGGGGTAAAGACTTTCTCAATGAAACACAGAGTAATATATCAGGAAATAAGACAAATGACCACATGAAAATAACCAAAATATGAAATGCTGTAAGATCTCATTTGTTTGGAATCCTGTACGTCATAAGTTATAATTATTTACCCAGAGCTAAGCTAAAGCTTATTTTTACGTTATTTTTCTTTCTTTTCTTTTCTTTATTATTATTTTTTTATATTTTTATTTTTGAGAGAGAGAGACACAGAGGGTGAGCAGGGGAGGGGCAGAGAGAGAGGAAGACACAGAATCTGAAGCAGGCTCCAGGCTCTGAGCTGTCAGCACAGAGCCCAATGCGGGGCTCCAACCCTTAAACTGCGAGTTCATGACCTGAGCTGAAGGCGGACGCTTAACCCACTGAGCCACCCAGGCGCTCCTACATTATTTTTCAAAGCTGGCCAAATTAGTAGTTTAAAATAACTATAAGATTTTATCTAGTGTAAGAATGATTTTCAAGTCCTTTAGAAGTACTGTTTACATGATTGATACACTACTTACCAATAATTTTATTTACTAAAGTAGCTTATCAAAGGCTTCCTGTTTAGAACATTTTATTAGCTTATGAGATATTTGCATAGAAATAAAATCAAACTACAGTTGAAAAGTAGAATTTGCATTGTGTCCTTAATAAAACCAACCTCTCTAGAAGTCTTAATTTAGAGTGGTTATTTTCAAAAAACTTTATTTTTTAGAGCAGTTTAAAATATTTTTTAAATGTTTATTTATTCTTGAGAGAGAGAGAGAGAGAGAGAGAGAGAAAGACAGAGCACAAGCGGGGGAGGGGCAGAGAGAGAGGGAGACACAGAATCTGAAACAGGCTCCAGGCTCTGAGCTGTCAGCGCAGGGCCTGACACAGGGCTCAAACCCACAATCTGGGAGATCATGACCTGAGCAGAAGTCAGATGCTTAACCAACTGAGCCACCCAGGTGTCCCTAGAGCAGTTTTAAGTTCATAGCAAAATTGAGCATCAAATACACAGTTCCCATATACTCACTACTACTCCCGCACAGGCACTGCCTTCCCCACTATGCACACCCTCCACCAGAGGGTACATTTGGTGCAACTGATGAACATAACTGACATGTCGTAATCACCCAAAGTCCATACTTTAACTTAGGGTTCACTCTTGGGGTTGTACATTATATAGGTTTGGACAAATGTACAATGACATGTATCCACTCTTAGAGTATCATACAAATGGTCTCACTGCCCTAAAGACCCTTTGTGCTCCGTCTAGACTGGTTTTAATATAAGTGGAAATATAAAATAAAGTCTTACTAGAAGAATTCCAGTTCTTATTGTAATTATAACATACTATCCACCTTCTAAAGCACCTACAAAGGAATGAGAAGGGATTTTGTGGGTAAATGCCCCCTTCTTTCCAGTGCTAACAGTTTCAACCTAACAAAGCCAGGAAGAAATTCTACGTTGTCATGGCCTTTAAAGCGCTTAACCTTCTACTTTCAACAAGTAAGTGCCCAAGGCAGCAGAAAAGTCTCCAGTTTGCCAGTGATGACTCACAACCACAGTGGGAAAAATAATATGGGAAGAAAAAAGTCATGCATTTTCTATTCAAAACTAGGAGACAAGGAACACGAAAGAAGTGAAAACAGTATTTTGCTATGTCGAGTATTAATTTTTTGAATCTTTATACTTGAACATAATAGATAAAGCACAATTTAGAAGAAGCAAAGACAAAACAAATATCTTAATGACAGTATTATAGAAAAGAGGTAAACCGATTTTATGTATCGCCAAACAGGATACATGTTTACTCTGATTTTAATATTAAAAGGAATTATAGAGAAGAAGTTACAGAACTGGAAAGCTTTAATGACATAACAGTTTGCAAGTTCAAAAACTCTTAATATTTGTCTCCCTTGAAATCTCAAACCTAGAAGTATACTCCAGAAGATGTCGAGCAACTGCACAAAGATGTTTCTCTAACGCTGTTCATTGCAACCTTAATGGAAATCAATTTTTAAAAGTCGGAAATCTAAATGCCTAAACATGAGAATTGGTTAAATAAAACATGATACAGTTATACAATAGAAATCTGAGAAGTTCTATAAATCTGATTATTTAAAAACATGTGCTTCACTTCATGTAAGGCAGAAAGTAAAAAGTGAGAGACGGAAATGAAGTACTATGGAAAGTCAAAACATATAGTTTAGTGTTCTCCAGAGGTTAGAGGAAGGAAGGAAACGATAGCATCTGGGCTGCACGTCAAAGGGTGAGGTTGCATCTGGACATATGGACATACAGTGAAAAAAGTGAAGGGCAGTCCAGGCACAGGGAACAGCATGACAACAGTACAGGGGCAGGAAAGTGCTGAACCAAAAGGCAGACAGGAAACACTTCCGACCAGAACAAAGGTGGAGTAGATAAGGTAAGTTTATAAATAGGTTGAGAATCTAGTTAGAAGGCCAGCTGGTGGCAGGCCTTGAATGCCAGGCTAAAGACTGGACTCAATTTGGAAGGTAATGGGAGCGATTAAAGGTTTGTGATAGGAGAGGGATATGTTCAGATCTGTGTTTTAATAACTGGGACCTAAGTGAATCTCACCAACAGACAGTGAGATTAGAATTTAACAGAATGGGGCGCCTGGGTGGCGCAGTCGGTTAAGCGTCCGACTTCAGCCAGGTCATGATCTCACGGTCCGTGAGTTCGAGCCCCGCGTCAGGCTCTGGGCTGATGGCTCAGAGCCTGGAGCCTGTTTCTGATTCTGTGTCTCCCTCTATCTCTGCCCCTCCCCCATTCATGCTCTGTCTCTCTCTGTCCCAAAAAATAAATAAACGTTGAAAAAAAAATTAAAAAAAAAAAAAAGAACTTAACAGAATGGGTCAGAAACTATGATAATAGCCTAGACAAGGTGAAAGATAGACCTAAATTAGGGTTTGGGGAATTGCAAAGAGGGGAGATTTTGAAAGGTATTGTACGGAATTAATTATGTGAATGTGCACGTGGACAGGAGAGAGAATGGAGCCAAAGACGACTATGATATTTTTAGACTGGCTTACTTAGATAGTAGTCCCTCCTTATCCATAGGGGACATGTTCCACCACCCCCAGTGGATGCCTGAAACTGTGGATAGCATTGAACCCTGTACAGACTGTCTTTTCCTATATATACCTATACATACCTATTAATGGGCCACTGGTCTATCAACTTACACGTTTAATTTATAAATTAGGCACAGTAAGAAATTAACAACTACAACTAATAATAAAATAGATCAATAATAACAACATACTGTAATAAAAATTAGGAGGGGCGCCTGGGTGGCTCAGTTGGTTCAGTGTCTGACTTCAGCTTAGGTCATGATCTCATGGTTCACGAGTTCAAGCCCTTGTGCTGACAGCTCAGAGCCTGAAGCCTGCTTTGGATTCTGTGTCTCCCTTTCTCTCTGCCCCTCCCCTGCTCGCACTCTCTCTCTCTCAAAAATAAAAATAAACATTAAAAAAAATTTTTTTTAATTGAACATGGTCTCTCTCAAAATATCTTATTGCCCTAAACTCACCTTTCCTCTTGTGATGATGTGAGATGATAAAATTCCTATGTGACATGAAATGAGGTGAATAAGGTAGGCCTTGTGAGGTAGCAGTAGGCCACTGACCTTTTTTTTTTTTTTTTTTTAAGTAGGCCTCATGCCCAGTGCAGAGCTCAACGTGGGGCTTGAACTCACAACCCTGAGATCAAGAACTGAGCTGAGAGCACCTGGGTGGCTCAGTGTGTTAAGAGTCCAACTTCGGCTCAGGTCACGACCTCACGGTTCATGAGTTCGAGCCCCACATCAGACTCTCTGCTGTCACCACAGATCCTGCTTTAGATCCTCTGTCCCCCACCTGCCCCCCGCTCCTCCCCCACTCTCTCTCTCTCTCAAAGTAAATAAATAAACTTAAAAAAAAAAAGACATGAGCTGAGATCAAGAACTGGATGCTTAACCGACTAAGCCACCTGGACTCCTCAGGCCACTGCTGACCTTCTGACAATAAATCAGGAGGACCATCTATGTATGGACCTCGGTTGACTGCAGGCAACTGAAACTGAAGAAAGCCAAATCACGGAATGGTGGTGGGGGGAGACTACTGTAATTTAGGGACATACTTAATATTGAGTAGTTAAACCAAAAGATCTATTTCATATGCTGCATAAGAAAATTACTTCTGACGTACCTGGGTAGAAGCTCTCGTTTGCTACCCAAGCCTCACCATCGATGTTCCGCAAGTACTTGGAAGGGGTTTTAGGGAATCTCTGAAATGACTTCTGCATGTACTTCTCCCGTATGCACAGTGCCCTGTACAGACCTTTGCAAACCATTTCAAAGTCTTCAACTGTCACCTGCCAAGAAAGTGTTAGAGCATCAGAGTCACTCCTGTGAAAATCCAAGAAGTGGATTGTCTTGGGTATGCCCCTGCTCTCTCCTGGGTGTTGTAGCCCGTGCTGAGCCCACCTGCCCATGTGGCTGCTCCCTTACGTGACTTGGGCCCTGGGTCTTCCTCCAGGAGCAGGTCCTGAAGTTTCTTGCCCTCTTTCATTTCTACTAAAACTCACCTGGTCTACAAGTCTTTCCTGACAGTCTTGTGTTTGTTTGGTGTTTGCTAGAAAGCAGTGATTATCTAGTGAGTGTGATTAAAAGAACCCATTCTAACATGGAAAATACCTTCTTCCTTCCAGGTTTTACATACGGGCTTCTGAAGACGGTATCTCAACTGAAAGACCATGTGACTCTGATTTGAGAATTCAAACCACTTTCTGGTCAGTGGGGGAAATATGTGGGGATGAATAAGGTGTCACACATCCCTCAAACCCTATCATGCATGCCCTGCCTTCTGTCGTTATGGATGGATCAGAACATCATCTTATGATAAGTTATCATTCCTTTGGATGGTTTTAAAGAGAACTTAATCTGTGGCTAAAAATGGAGAGATTCTAGAATAAAATTTTCTCAGAACTGCCGGAAATTTCCTAAGCTGGTCTGTCTCCCATGCCCCATCCCTGACTCCGGGCTAGGGACGGCATGCCCAAAGAGTTATAACTTGAAATCACTGAATGATCGTCATCAAAGCCCAAAGATTTTCTGGGACCAATGTAAGCTTGTTCCGAATGTTTGAGGCCCGGATGTTGATCCTAACCAGTTGAACTCTTTTTAAAGGCTCGCTGACCTTGGCTGAGAGATTCTGGCACAGGTGCTGGAACTAGAGGTCTGCTTCTAATGGCATGCTTGTTCCTTTGCCACCTAATGGGCCACCGGTTTATCTTCTCCAGGATAAGAGCTGGATCTTATTCACCGTGGTGTCCTCAGCATTTGGCACACAATGCATAGCACACAGTAGGTGCTCAATAAGAATTGATTACATGGAGTCAACTGATTATCAGGGATTGATGGCCTTGGAAACTTAGTCCTGATCCCCCTTACCTCTCTGTTCAGTTACAAGGTGAGAATGGATGGGGGCACAGAATACAACCAGCTGATTATTGCTCAGCAGCTCAGCCACATTCAGCCAACATGCTTGGTTCTTCAAAGACTCCATGCCATGGTTTCAGGTGCCCTCCAGCTTTCAGAGGAGAAACAGCTACTCCCTGACTTCTGTGAACCTTTTCCTTCCTCCCATCCTCTTTCTTTTCGTTTGTGTTTGTTTCTACCAAGCACAAGCAGTATCAACTTTGCCTCTTAGTTTTTATGTTTTTTTGAACTCCTGCGTTCTCCAAACGGCAGCTCTATTGAACATCTCCTTTCAGTCATTTATAATCTAAAATGCCTGCCATTTGCAGTCATGTCATCACACAGAAAGTGAATAAACAAGAATTGTGTTTGTTTCCTTGCTCTGTCCCTTTTTAAATATCTTGGGACTGACCCTAAGTGGGTCAGTTACATGAGAAGGGGGCTTAGGATTGGTCATTAAAACTATATTTGGAGCATAGACTGATAGCTACACATCAGTTTCACCAATATGATGCTGATTCTGCAAGTTCATGTGACAGAGATTTATTAATTGCCCAACTGTCCTGGACAGGACAGGAAGGTCAAGTTGTTTGTGACAGGAGTTTACTATCCCTGTGGCATAACTAGAGTCTATTCCAGGCAATAATCTACCGTGTAAGCATCTACAATGAAATTGGAGATGACCGTTGGTCAAAAAAAAAAACAATAGCCCCGTTAGAATCTTCTAGGCTCTCTCTCATCTTTCTTCTTTTCTCTGGTCTCTCCACTCTTCTTTTCTCATCTCCCTCTCTTTCTTCCAAGCTGTTTTCTTGGATTGGTTTATGCTACCTGAAGTCCTTGTCTCTATTCTAGGGCTGCCCGGGATCCATCTTTTCCCAAGAGCCCCCTGTGCCTCCTCGAGGCTCCCTGTCTTGTCTTGCGATATCCTCAGTGAGATTAGCCCACCAGGTGCTCTCTTGTTTCTTGTGCCAAAATTTGTCTAGTGTATTCTGTAACACACACACTGCATTCCACTACATACTGTCCATGTGCAAGCAAATGGAATAGAGAAGGATAGATCATGTGGGATGATAAAACAAAATAGAAATATAAGTCATGGCAAATCAGTATTGAAATGCAATAATGAAGTACAGCAAAGGACAAGTGAAGTAACACCTTCCTCAGAAGGAAAGGCAAGAAGGTAAGGAAGCTGAAACAATCAAGCTGTGTCTTCCCAGCAGCGACATTTGAGGGGAAAAAGAGCAACTCACCCCTGAGGCATAATCGCCAGTGATCTGCACTCTCTGAAAATCAGGCACGGTCTGGTAGGTTGGAGATGAAGAAATGTATTCGTCGATATGGGACAGTTTAGTGGAAGATGCTTCACTTTGTGGAATGGACAAATTAACAGTCTTCCGTCCATGGAAACGCTTTTTTCTGGGTTTGAAACACAAAAATAAAAGAACTTAACTTGGTCCTCATTGGGACTCATTGGGAGTTGCGTTGTGATAGATTGGTGTTTCACTATCCAATTTCATTTTGAGGACAAAAAGTGCAAATTAAAATGTCAGCTGTCTGTCAGAAACAGGATCCAACCATATGGGAAGAGGTATCACATGACTGTATTCCCTTCTTCCCGGTATCCTTTTGGAGGGTTGGCCTTTGGGAACATACAAGAAGGCTTTCAGCATGACCTTATTCTTCACGGGCAGTCCACTCCTAGCAGATGGGCAGTCTGGGAACCACAACAAGCACAGGCTATGTCAGTTATTACCTGTGTTGTTTTCTGCTTGTTCTGAAACTCTGTGAGCTTCTGTTGCCCCCTATGAAAAAAAATAGTGTAATAATGCCTACCTTAAAGAAATTCTGTGAGATTTAGTGTACGGAGTTTATAAGTTGCTTAGTCAATATTACTTCCTTAGATCAACAAGTATTTATTGAGTTTCTGCTTTGACCCAAGACTTACGTTAGGTCCTATGGGGCATGCTGAACAAGGGGGATCACTGTTCTTTCCTTAAAGACAAAATAAAGAGGATGGCCAGGGCAGGAAGGCAGAAATGGAGTGTTGTATCCCTGGGGCCTGGAGGAGGTCAGACTGGCCTGAGGGCTATATTCATATCAGATAGCACAATGCGAAGGTTGGCTAAAAATGAACTCTGAAGATGAGGCTCTTGAGTTCTGGTTTCCGTACCCATTCTGTGTAAGTTGAGTGTGTGCCCAGCAGCCATCAGCCTACCTTGGTTTGGAACAATTGCACAGGAGCTCATGTCCTCTTGCTTGGGCAGATAGGGAGGCTTCAACTAAAGGAAGATGTGCATGAGCACAGGATGTCTACTCTTCTCTTCTTTTTAGTCATTGCTAACCTTGCCCTAGCTTACACAGTGCGGGGGTGGGGGGTATAGGTGAAAGGGAAGAATTTTTAGCTCTGGCAGAGTTCTTCCTCCAAGTTGAACCATCATTCAGACAGACTGAACCAGTTGCCCTGACAATTCTCCTTCCTGTGTCCCAATGTCCCAACATTCCCTTACACCACTTACCTCCTGCCTTCTGTGGAGGTGGACATGGCCTCCAGGTGGAATATGTGTGCTCGCATCTCATGATGAGAAATTGGACAGATTTCATCCACATCAAAGGGGGAAATCTCCTGACGGCCTCCCTCATCTTTGACTTCAGAGGCAAATACTTTTTCAGCCAAGCTACGTATTTCATCATCAATTTCTAAAAGAGGTTTTCATGGATTAGTATTCAAGCCCTTTCTCAGAAGTCATCAGAGAGTTCCTGCTATGTGTGAGGCACAGTGCTAAGGACTGCCCTGGGTGCCTGGCTCCCCTATACTCTAACCAGTGCCCCAGAAGCATGTCAAAGCTCAGTGCCGCTCTACTGTCTCTTTAGAGGTTTCTGTGTGGGTAGCTTGGAAATCCATTCTCAGAAACACAGGTCAGATTCTTGCAGCACATTTCAGGAGGTCCTAAAGGTGGGATTGGTCTCTTGCAAGATTAGCACTTAATGTAAGATCACCTGTTTCTGGCAGGGCTAAGTCTGATTTCATAGTAACCATGCAGCATAATCTTTCTCATTAGACTGGTGGAGTTTTTCCGATGGCTGTGAAGGTGTGAATAGGATTGTTGGTCTTTGGAGCTTTTCTTTCTAGAAAGATTGTAGTGATCTAGGTAGTTTTGAGAAATAAACGTGTACTTTGGGCCTTTCTTCCTCATAGGACAGATACTGTGTTTCTCTCATACATTATTTCAAATCCTGACAACTTGATGATATGCTGGTATGTGGGAGAAGGGGGCCATTGAAAGTTACTACCCAGTGTTGGGAGTCCCACTTCTTGTGGACATGTGGCTTTTCATAACGAATGGCCCTTGGAAAGCCAATTTTACTTTTACATGCCTTAATATTCCCATCCTTTGTTTTTAAGTTTATTTTAAGTAACCTCTACACCCAACGTGGGGCTTAAACTCACAGCCCCAAGATCAAGAGTCACATACTCTTCCTACTGAGGCACCCTTAATATTCCCATTCTTAGAATGGGTGGAGGGGTGACGTTTAGTTTGGCAATGAATAACCCCAAATCTCTCCGGATGTAAGGGAACTAATTTCATCATACAGCGTAGTAATGGCCATCAAGTATCTGCTCTTCTGTTAAGTTCCACTGCATTTTCCACATACCCAATTGTTTCATCTGAATAGTCATTACTTCTAATACTTCTAAAATCTCTTCATATTTCCAGAAAAGAGCAGGTAGCAAATAATGAGAATGGCAAAGAGTTAGCTATTTGGAGCAACAGAAGACAGAACACTCTTCAAATGATGACAGAGCAAACTGCGTGCAAAGAGAAAGATCCCCTCATTGCCGCCCCATCAGTGTCCTTACAGATCTCCAAAATGCCACATTTTCGATTTTGACTTGAGTAAGTTCATGTGTTCAAATCCTTGTTCTGCACTTACCGACACCTCCACCTTCCTCTGTCTTAGTTTCCTCATCTGTAAAGTGGGAATACTAGTACCTACCAAACCTCACTCATGAGGCTGTTGTGGTAATAATGTACAGGGAAATACTTTACAGACAACAAAGCACCAGATCAAACTGAATGATGCAATTTGGTAGCATTGGTCAGACAGATATCTGGTATTTGGGGTTAGTTTGGGGCTATTAAGAAAATGATAAATGATATGACTTAGTATAGGCTGAAGCGTACATTGGAAATGATAGTAATTAAATCATAACTTCATCACCACTGTTAGGTCAGCCTATTTTCAAAACCTGGCTTATCACAAAAGGATAACAGAAACCCACTGTATTGCTGAACTTCATGCATCTGTCTGCCTCATTAAACTCAAGCACTTCCTGAAACTGAAGACCGTCTTTGGATGCTATGGAGTAGTTCTTTGACAAGTACCACACTCCACAAAGGACCAAATGGGACTCTAAATAGATATGTTTGATGGCCTGAGAATGCCTCCCCACCCCACTACCAACTGATCCCCAGAGATTATTGTCATTCCTCCAGGAATGCAAGCAAGCACATGCACCTCAAGGATGAATGGCAAGCAGAAGTTAGAAGAGGCTTCATGCACCATGAAACGCAAATGAAAAGGGGCTAGTTGGTTATGATGATGATGAGGACAAGGATGCAACTGGCTTGTCATGATGGGTCTGTGACAATGCTGCCAGAGGCCTCAGGAAGGACGGCATGGAAATGGATGCTCAGAAACCAAATCCTACTTGCTTGAGATCTGGCTTGTCCAGAACAAACAGTCATTACCTAGGACTGCACATATCCATTTGTTTCATAGTTTTAAATGTTATTGTTTTTACTGAGTTCCATCTCCCTAAGCCACTAGAGATGATTGAAAAGTTAGAAACTCTACTCTAAGATGTGGTTTGCATGATGCCCCCAAATTACATGGTTGATATTTCCTTCCACTGAATCAACCAGTTGTTTTGACTTCATGCAACCACAGCTGAAATTTGACTCCTCATTCAAGAGCTCTGCCTTTCAAAAATATTTCAGGGAGTGGCGATGATTGTGGGAAAGAAAGAGTGAAACTGGTATTTCAAAAGATGAGTGGATAAGATTTGGTGACAGTTCTGAATTCAGGGAGTAGAGGGGAGATGAGTCCCTTGTGTTTGTATAGCTGATTGTTGGGTTCTTTTTTCAGCATATTACATTTGAGATAATGGAGCACCTGAGTGGAAATGTCTGGACGACAGGACATCTTCATTTACATGTGGAGTAGACACGAGAATAGAAACAAGTGGTAAAAAGATGAAGCAGAGTGAACACTGAACTAGGAGTGAGGAAAAGTGTCTGTGACAGCCGGGTGGCCTTGGGGAAACCACATAATCACAAGGAGCCTCAGTGTTCATCATCATAACAAGAGAATGCTAATAATAATAATGTCAACTTCAGAGCATTGCCATAAAGGTTAAACAAGAAATCCTTTAAAAATGACACAGGGCTATATAGAAGTTGGGGATTATTACTATTAACATGGGAAGTGCAAGGCTCTTGAGAAGGGGAATGTCATGCTGGCTTCTTCACTCAACGTTGAGACCCAGAAGAGCATGCTTATTTCCCAGCAGTGCTTTATTGATGGGTAGAAAAGACAGGTCGTAGGTGTTTCATCTGCCACATCTCATCCCCTCTATGCTTCTCCGAGGGAGACCTACTTACTATCAGTCAGCCTAAGGACAAGTCTAATTTGAAACATAACTTAAGGTTCCAGTTTTATCTGAAGTGAGATTTTATTTGACCCGGTCACAGAAATTTACCATGAAATGTTTTGCTTTGGAGTTGAGGATTTCCTAAGGCAAGACTCAATAGGCCCCGCTGGCTAACCTATATCTAAAGAATACTATTTTATTTTAAAACATCAGATGAACGCCCCTCTGATGTTCTGTTTAAAAAATGGATTTGGTTGGTTTTTTTTTTTGGGGGGGGGGGGGGGAGTCCAGAAAATCCATGAGTTCATTTGCTATGCTATGGGATATCTATGGTTATTATTAATCTTTGTTGGCTTTCAATGGTATCATTTAATAAACACTGCTGGAAAATACTCATGTTTCTGAATTAATGAGTAGTACTATTTTTCATTGATACTTTGGCAAATGGCAGGAAAAATTGTCCAAAATACTCACGTTTTTCTTTAGCTGTTTGAAGTAAAATAAAACAAGATAAAATATATAAACAACTTTCAGAAATCATAGTAGCTGTTAATCTGTGCTTTGGGGTAGAAATGTGTAGATTGGTACAAGAAATGGGGGAGGTGGAATGTGTTATTACAGCTCATTCTTCCATTTACCTACAATTTGCTGTCATCAAAAAACTCTGGGAATGTGGTCATTACACACCCCTTTCTTTTCTTTCCCTTTCTAATATGGCTCCTTAAATTTATGTTTATAAGTGTAAAGAGGTACGCTTTGTAAAATGTGATGTTAAAGACATCTGCTCTAGAGAAATGGAAACTCTCATACGATGCTGGTTTCAGCCAAACTGAAGGAGCTCATTTGGTAAGCAATTTAGCAACACCTACCGAACAGCCATTTCTGACAATCTACCCTACTGATTTCCATTCTTAAAAATGGCAAAAACTTTATGTACAAATACTGTTGTCAGAATACAATTTTACTTACCCAACTGTAAAGAACCTAAGGGATTAGTTAAGAAGATTTGAATATTACCCAGCCATTTAAAATGATGTTTAGGAAGAGTTTAGAATACCATGATAAACGATTAAGTCATAATGTTAAGGGAAAAAAAAAAAGACAGGCTATAAAGTGACATGTATTATATAATCACAGCTATGTTTTTTTACAAATTCCTTAAAGTTGCATAGAAAATAGATTGAAAAGAAAAACACTAACATGTGAAAAGTGGTATCTTTGGATGATGGGACTGTGGTTGTTTTTTTCTTAGTACTGCTCTCCTAAATTTCTCGTGTTCTCTAAATGAGTGTTATTACTTTTATGTTCAGTGGAATTTCTCTTTCTCGTTTCACAGGAGATATGTATTTCCTTCCTAATGAAAAAGACTTAGTATGATTCTAAAAATCATTATGTGTACAAACCTGGATCGTGAGCCATCAAAATACACAGATTGGGTTAACATTTCCATCATGCTTGTGATTTTCAACTAACACTATAGCTAGAGACGTTATATAGGACGCTGCTGTGAACTCTAACAGGCACAGGCTTTGTTTAGACTAGCAGAGTAGATTTTAAATATCTTCCACCGTTTTCTCCTGGGATCATCAAAGATGCTACCACATGATACAGTTTTAGAAAATTATCTCCCTTCCAAAACTAAGAAGAAGAAAAAATCCTTGAAAATCTTGTCTTGCTTCTTCCTGAAAAGTATAATTAAGTGGTACTCTGAACCCTAAATAAAGGATTGTCAAAGCTGACATGATATACTCAAAGGAATGGCTGCATTTAAAAGAATTGAGCTCTCAAAACACTTTTGCACACCTACCTGGAAGTTTCAACAGAGGCATTTTGCCGGGGTCCTTGATTCTAGGATAGCACAGTAGAAAGGAGGAGAGAGGAGGCTGTGGGGATGACTGCCTGACACTATAAAATACCCTGACATTCATTTTATGATTTTGCTTTGCATCTGTAATCTGACCCTTCTCTGCTAAAAAGAGAGAGATGAGTTTTAGACCTATTTATAGCTTTAGGCAATTGACAGAGAAAAACAGGTGAAGCCTTCAGTCTTTACCCTGGGATTTCAGAAAAGATATGTGCTAGGTCAGGAATTGCATTTCAGTACTTTCTAAATCTTCCTATGCATCGGATTCTCCTCAGGTGTAGTTTTCTTACATGATTTCACCAGTGATGATTATTTTTCACCCCGGTGAAATACAGCAAAGTCTTATAGGCTCTGGATGTCAAAGTCCTCAGGATTTCAGTCATGAGAACAGCTTGCTGAGTTTGATGTATATGCTGGTGTATTCATCAAGTTCTCTCCACACACACACACACACACACACACAGGCACACACATGTGTGTGCACATGCACACACCCACACTTTCATTAGAAATGTGCTATATTTCTGACTTCACTCATATGAGGACTTTAAGATACAAAACAGATGAACGTAAGGTAAGGGAAGCAAAAATAATATAAAAACAGAGATGGGGACAAAACAGAAAAGACTCTTAAATATGGAGAACAAACAGAGGGTTGCTGGAGGGATTGTTGGAGGGGGATGGGCTAAATGGATAAGGGACATTAAGGGATCTACTCCTGAAATCATTGTTGCACTATATGCTAACTAACTTAGATGTAAATTAAAAAAATAAATTAAATACAAATTTTAAAAATAAGTAAAAAAAAAAAAAAGAAGAAATGGGCTATGTTTAACAGAAATCCCCTTGACAGAATTTATTTAATGAATTAGGTAGTAAACTTACTTCAAATCTTAGAGAAACTAAACTTCCATCTTGAGTGCTCATTTACCCCTCCTTTGTATATTGTTATAAAAAGAATGATATCTTCCTTTTATATAACATTTTATAGTATATAAAGCATTTTTCAGACATTATCTTTTGGATCCTAATTATAATCCTATAAGTACTTTATCCCTGCTTCCCAAATGAGAAAACTGAGGCTCTGAAAAGTGAAGTATCCTGCCCGAAGGCTTTCTACTCATAAATGGCAAAGCTAAGGCCCTCTGGACCAAAATCTTAGGATCTTTCGACAATAACAGAGAGTCTTTGCTGTGGCTAATTATGTGATAATTACTGTTAGGTAAAGAAAGTATTTCTGAGATTCAGCAGAGTTTATCAGTTGTAACAGTTTATATTAAAGACAGTAGCACAAGTTGGAGCTTCAGATTACAACAGAATTATGGATGTAGACTGAATAATCTTTTCACTATTAACTGTTTCCTATGGAAAATTGGAACAAGCCTTTTTGTTGGCAAAACTGAATAGTTTGCTGCCTACGTTTTTGGCGATCGCCTCCTTTTCATCAGCAACATGAAAACACATTTACAATGGTGTTACTGAACCAAAACATTTGTTCATTGCTTTCCAACTTTTTTGGTGATATTTCCACCTGGGCTTCCCAGGGGTATCTACAAATTGATATATCCAAACTAAACATTTCCTTCCCCAATCTTCCTTCCTCTTTAGCGATCCTTATCTTTATATGTTATCCTTCAATTTTCCCCTTCCATTTGTGGCAGATACCCTAGCTATCTACTCAAAAGTCATTTTCCCTTTTTTTTTCTTATTAATAAAGCCCTTTTTAGTTTGGGCACTAACGTACTCAGCCAAAATCAACTGTGTTTGCTAAACCTCCAAGCAGCTAGACGTGGCCATGAAGTACAGTCTGACCAATGGGATATAAACAGAATTGCTGGGTGCCATGGCATACGTTCTGCTTTTTTGCCAGTCTTCTTCTTCCTCTCTGGAATAAAATATATATATATATCTGGGTGAGTGCAAATCAACCATTGTTGTAACACAAGTGATGAGCAGGACAAAAGCCACATGTGAAGAAATACCTGAGCAGAAGAAAAGAGCCAGGGTCCCTGAAGATATCCTCAAGTCGCCATATTAGCCCTGGACTGCCCCCCTGCAGGCTTTCTAAAACAGATGACCCCCAAACAGCGCTGGAGTTAGGGTTACTGACATCCTTCTCGCTGCCCCCTCGTATGGTCGAAAATCCGCATGTAACATTTGACTCCCCCCAAACTTAACTACTAATAGCCTACTACAGACCAGAAGCCTTACTGATGACATAAACAGTTGATTAACACATATTTTGCATTTTATATATTGTATACTGTATTTTTATAATAGAGTAAGCTAAAGAAGAGAAAACCAGGGGCGCCTGGGTGGCGCAGTCGGTTAAGCATCCGGCTTCAGCCAGGTCACGATCTCACGGTTTGTGAGTTCGAGCCCCGCGTCAGGCTCTGGGCTGATGGCTCAGAGCCTGGAGCCTGTTTCCGATTCTATGTCTCCCTCTCTCTGCCCCTCCGCTGTTCATGCTCTGTCTCTCTCTGTCCCCAAAATAAATAAATAAACGTTGAAAAAAAAAAATTTAAAAAAAAAAAAAAAGAAGAGAAAACCATAAGGAAAATACATTTATACTACAGTATTTACAAAAAAAAAATCTGTGTATAAGTGGCAGTTTTAATCCATGTTGTTCAAGGCTTACCTGTATATAAGAAAAATAAATTTGTTTTAGAAATTGATTACTCAGGTTTTTTGGTTATTAGCAGCTAATGTAATTTTCATAAATCATTAGTCACCTCAAATTCAGATGATTGCAATAGATTCTTAATTATTTTTGCTGCCTCCAAATCATATTGCAAAATACTTCCCGATGAAATCTTTTTAAAACATCACTTTGAGGGGCTCCTGGGTGGCTCAGTTGGTTAGTTGTCTGACTCTTGACTTTGACTCAGGTCATGATCTCATGGTTCGTGAGATAGGGCCCCAAGTCAGGGTCTATGCTGACAGCAAGGGTCCTACTTGGGATTCTCCCTTTTTGCCCCTCCTCCGCTCACATGCATCCATGCACTCTCTCTTGTTCCCTCTCAAAAATAAATAAACAAATAAAACACCACTATATTCTCCATTTTTTTTAATGTTTATTTTTGAGAGAGAGAACATGTGTGCACGTGCGCTCTAGTTGGGGAGGGGCAGAGAGAAGGAGATAGGATCCAAAGCCAGCTCTGCACTGACAGCACAGAGCCCAATGCAGGGCTCCAACCCATGAGCTGTGAGATCATGAGCTGAGCAGAAGTTGGATGCTTAACCAACTGAGCCACCCAGGCACCCCTACACTCTCCATTTAAAAACATTCACCGAGGGGCACCTGGGTGGCTCAGTTGGTTAAGCATCTGACTCTTGGTTTTGTGTCAGGTCATGATGTCACGGTTCCTGGGTTCAAGTCCTGCTTCAGGCTCCAAGCTGGCCGTGCAGAGCCTGCTTGGGGTTCTCTCTCTCTCCTCTCTCTTCTCCTCCCCACCCCCCTCAAAATAAATAAATAAACTTACAAAAGTTCACGGACTTCATTTGTTGTTTCAACAAATATTTCTTGGGTACTCAAGGAGACCGAGTTTGTGGGTAATTTCAGACAGACTTCGGCTCCAGTCTTATCTCCTGTTTTTACTAGTTGTGTGGCCTCAACTTTTGCAAACCTAACCAGGCACCGTCCTGGGCAGTGGCATATGTATAGTGGTGAACAAGAAACACACAGCCTCTGTTTATATTCTAATGGGCAACATACAATAAGGTAATTTCAGGTAGTAATGGATGCTAGGAAGAAAACAAAACAAGGTGATTTCTATTGATGAGAATTCTATAACTGAAGACAGGAGTAGGTCTCTTCTCAGAACTATTTAGACTACTAGTGTAGATTTTTAGATACCTCACAGTTAGATACCTCGCATCCAACTTTGGCTCAGGTCCTGATCTCACGGCTTGTGAGTTCGAGCCCCACATCGGGCTCTGTGCTGACCGTTCAGAGCCTGGAGGCTGTTTCGGATTCTGTGTCTCCTTCTCTCTCTGCCCCTCCCCCACTCGTGCTCTGTCTCTGTCTCTCTCTCTCAAAAATGAGCATTTTACAAAGTTTTTAAAAAAATGATGAAGGCTTAAATGGAAACAATCACTGTAGAACTGCAGCAGAAGTGACAGATATGACCTATTTTGAAGACAAGACTATCAAACCACAAAATGGATATAGGGGTGATGGAAGAGGAATTGTTGAGAATAAGTCTTAAGTTTCCTTGTGACTGATTGGTAAGAAGATAATACAAGAGGATAGGTAGGATTAAAGCCGAAACCAATGTATTTGGCTTAATTCCTCAAAATGGAAATGTCCAGTTGGCAGTTGGATATTTGGCTTTGGAACTCAGGAGAGAATCCTGAACTGGAGATATACTTGTGAGTCATCAGCAACGATCTTGGTTAAAACTCTGATAATCAGTTACAGCACTGAGACAGAACGTGTGCAAAGAGCAGAGGGCCATGGAAAGATTCTTAAGGAAAACCAATATTTAAGGATTGGTTGTAGAAAGAAAAGACCACAGAAAAAGTTGAAATGATGAGGGACGAAGGAGGAGAAGAAGAAGATACTGTATCGTGGAAGCTTTGGGAGAAAAGCAATCTGAAACCAAGTCACGGGGCTTAATGTTGTGAGACTTCATGAAAAGACAGAAAATAGTTCATAGGTTCGGCGATTAGGAAAGTGGGTGATCACCATGGGTCAGTTCAGCTCCTTTTAAGAAGATGCCCAGAGAGAATGAGACATACAAGAGATTTATTGCATCTAAGGTAATGCCTGTGAAGGATAAAAGAGGAGGGAGCCGGGGTAGGCAGGGAAAGTCTTCAGACAATGGTGCGATGATGATCTGACAGGTATAAGAAGAGAGAAGGAAGGAAAGAGGATGACTTGAAAGAGCCTCAGATTTTAGTCTGGGAAAGTCTTGGCCAGGCCAGCGGGGCGTTCCCCACAAGGATTGCCCGTTCAAGGAGTCCTGTAGGGAGAAAACTGGCCCCACTCTAGTACCCTCACCATGTTCAGTCACTGACTGTGAGGTAGGGAGTGTGGGTACTGAGCATGGCTTCAGGGTTGCAA